CAGGGGCCCTGAGCACTGTAGCCCTGGTGGGACCCCTCCTCCATTGAAAAGTAACATGGGGTCGCTATGTATTCCAGGCTGGGCTTGAACTCACTGTGTAGCCCAGGCTGGCCTCAGATTTGAGGCAACCCTCCTGCTTCAGCCTCCTGAGTGATGGGGTTACAGGTGTGTGCCTCCACACCCAGGTATAGTAACAAATTAAGTCAAACTAGAATTCATTTACAAACCAGCCGTGGTGGCTCACGCCTATAATCCCAGCTCTTGGGAGGCTGAGGCAGGAGGATCGTTGCGAGTTCAAGACCAGCCTAAGCTACAAAGTGAGCCCAAGGCCAGCCTGAACTGCATAGTGAGACCCTGTCTCAAAAACACCAAAAAAAAAGATTTCTTTTGCAGCTTTGTTGGCATAAAGATGATTGTTTTAAAACGTGATGTTAGAGTTTCTCTCTCCCAGCAGGCTCATTGTTTTTCTCTTGATTCTAATAGAAATTGGGTGACACAGCGGGGGATCCTTATCCACTGCATTACCCTTGATGCCACCAGGGGGCGCCCAGCGCCATACTGGCTTTTAACTCGCTATGTGGCCCCAGACGGCCTTGAATTTTCTGTGATCCTCCTGCCTCAACGTCCTAGAGTGCTGGGATCACACATGTGCACCACCGCGCCCTGCCCAAAGTGACCCTTTGTCCCCGAGAGTGGAGCTCCATCGCTAGGGACTGGCTGAGTCCTCCTGGCCTCCAAGTCACGCAGAGGACTCTGCCTCTGCATCCTCTGGGAAGCTTGCATCCGGCTCAGGAACCCCGCTCTGCGCCCTGCCCTGGGCCCCTGCTTCTCCAGCCGTGGTCACTGCTGCGCAGGGTTGGATATTCACGCACCGCCGGGCTCCCTGTGCCGGGGACAGCAGGGTCACAAGCCCAGGGCAGGGGCACAAAGCCTGGGCCGTTGCTGCCAGCACCCTGCTGCTCTGGGGCCTGGGGCTCCCTCCTGCCGGCCAGGACCAGGGGACCCCCTCCCTCACAGAGCCACCTGCAGCGCGGGGGAGGGGGGTCTTGGGGCCTGCATCATCCCCTCCCTCCTCCCGCCGAGCCCACCCCAGCTGTGGCACAGGGAGAACAAAGGAACAGGGTCTCCCCTCACCTCATAAACGCTGCCGCCCTGGAGGTGCAGATCCCTGAATCCCCCAGGGCCTCTTTGTCCCTGTGCCCCATCTTCCTCCCCCATACCGCCTTTGACCTTCTGCCCCGTCCCCCAGGTCTCCCCAACCATCTTCTATGTAGGGCCGGCTCAGCCAGAAGAGCTGGACTGTGATTCACCAGTCAGGTGAGGGCCGTGAGGGCCCACGCAGGAAGGGAGAGGGCCCTGGGGTGGGGAGCCCGAGCCTGAGGCTGCCAGGCCCCCAGATAAGCAGGTATCCACCGCAGCTGCATTCCAGGCCGGACAAACCAGTCTGGGTGCTTAGGGGGGCCGGGTGGGGACACTCCGCACCCTTTGGCCCAGGAGGGGGGGCACCCTGGCCTCCCTCTGGCCCCTGTGCAGGAGACCCAGGCTCAAATCAGGCTGTAGATGGGCCCCATCACCCCCAGGTGTCCGCGGGGCAGGCCAGGCCGCCCAAGCCCAGGCTCTGGTCTCACAACCAGCTGATGCTGGTGAACAGGAAAAATGCTGAAATCCAACCCCTGCTCCACCTCCCCGCACGCACCCCTGCCCCCACCTCGAGGGAAGGGGACCTGCTTCTGGGTCCTCCGCCCCCCCTGCACCCCACCCCTGTCCCAGGTCCCCAAGTCTGGCCTTTCTTGGGACCAATCTTGTGCAAACCTGCTGGCTGACCTTCAGCCTCCAAAGTCTCCATGGTGTTGCCCTTGACCCAGGGACAGCTGTCCCCAGGGCGCCCCCAGGGTGCCCCCCAGGGTGGCCCTTTGAAGATACATTCATATCTTTACTTTTTATTGTTCTGTTTTTTGAGACAGGGTCTAGGGAGCCCAAACTGGCCTTGAACTCTTGATCATCCTCCTGCCTCAGCCTCCCAGAGTGCTGGGGTTCCTCGGTGCACGCCAGGCTCATCTTTAGGGGTCTCCCACACTGACATCGTGCTCGTCTCCCCCAAGCAAGTGCACAGTGAGCCAGTTTCCCAGCTTCTCCCCAACTTCGGAATCTGCTAGGAAGTCGGTGAGCTTTGAAGGAGAGATTTGTTTAGAAATCCGAGATGGTTTTTGTTTTGCTGGACATTTTGGTCACTTGGAGATTATTACTGTAACATTTTCCCCCAAGCTTTCTCTGCATATTTGGACAAAGGGCGAGATGAGAGGACTTCCCTTTTCTCTCGCTTCCTCCCTCAGGAAGCACCTGGTTCCCACACTTGGTCCTCTTGTGAGTGACCCTTGACTGAGCCCCGACACCAAGATGGTGGCCTCTGATAAAGCCCAGCTTCGTGAGTGATGGATGGACAAGAAATGTCAGTCCATAAACACCGGGGTGTGTCCTGTGTGCCCCAGATAAGCACCTGACCCCACACCCGGTACACAGGGTGGTGACCAAGCTCCGCCCCGTGCCCCAGAGGGCACACTGTCCCTCGAGGGCAGAGCATCAGTCCTTACCCCCAAGCTCTGATTTTTTTTTCCAGTGCTGGGAACCACACTCAGAACCTCATGCATGCCAGGCAAGCAGTCCACCCCTGAGCTGCATCCCTGGCACTCTGCACAGATTTACTTTGAAATTTATTTATTTTTGTGGTACTGGGGATCAAACCCAGGGCTAGCACACTGAGCTACATCAGGGCCTGTCTTTTAAGATTTTGAGGCGGGGTCTCTAAGTCACCCACTGAGTTTGTAGTTTTTCTGCCTCTGCCTCTCAGAGTACTTAGATCTCAGGTGTGGGCCACCACGCCCAGCCTTAAAATTTATAAATCCATGAGAACATATCAAAAACAGCAAGGCGCATACTCAGTTATTTACCAGCTGCTAACACACAGGCGCTGCTGTTTCTTTTCTTTCTTTTTAAATTTTTTTTTTTTTTTGGTCTTTTTCATTTTTATCGGTACTGGGGATCAAACTCACGACTGCCTGCTTCCAAGGCAGGTGCTTATGCCGCTGAGCTAAATCCCCAGCCCCTCTTTTTTTATTTTTAAAGATAGAGTCTTGCTATGTAACCCAGGCTGGCCCTGAACTCACTGAGATCCTCCTGCCTCAGCCACCTAAAGTGCTGGAATTACTGCTGTGTGCCATCACCCTGGCCTGTCTCTCTTCCTCATCCCGTACACAGAATGACCATCCCATACTTTGCCCAAGTAGCTCAGGTATGCTCCTGTTTATATAGCTACACTATAACCCCTGTACTCCCCAAAGTGAACTCTACTCATGATCACTCTTTTTTTGGTGCCAGGAATTGCACTCAGGACCTCTCGCTGGCCAGGCAGGCGCTGTGCCACTGAGCTACACCCCTGGCCCAGTCACACTACAGTGTATATTGCACAATCCGGTTTCTCTCGCTGTTACACTAACTCTAACAGTGTACGCCAGATCTTGCTCATTTTTATCTGAGAATTAACCAGAGCCCCTGGGTTCCCTAGCAGCCACCTCAGATGAGTCTTCTCCAGTCCACCAGGTTCTCAGTCTTTGCTTTCATCTTTGTCTTCCGGACACTGATATCTCCGAAGCAGCTGGGCTAGCAGATTGGCAGGAAGTCCCTCGGCTTGGATCTGATTTCATCCCAGTGACCACACGGAGGTTAAGTTCGGGGGCAGGAAACGACACACGTGACCCGGGGTGTGGGTGTCTTTGGCCTTTTTCACAATCAGAGATAACAAGTCAGGTTCCGTCACAATGCCACAGTTAAAATGAGGAGAAACACCAGCAAGTCTCCCCCTTCCTCCTCTCCCCGCCCTGCAGTGAGACCTCTTAGGTCTGGCCCTTCTCCCCTGCACACATCCTCCCTTGAGTCTCTGGGGCTCCTTCAGGCACGTCTGTGCTTTTCTCCTCCACCCCTGGAGCTGGCCAGAAACCCCGTGCCAGGGGCACTTTTCTTAAATTGTGTCATCGTGTGGTCCACAGGTCCATCCATGCTTGCTGGCTTTCCACTCTACTTTACCCTCACCCCAACTTACTTTTGTATCTTAGACGTTAAATTGATTTAAAATGCACACAGAGGGCCGGTGGTTTAGCTCAGTGGCACAAGCGCCTGCCTGGCAAGCACAAGGTCATGAGTTTGATCCCCGGTACAAAAAAAAAAAAAAAAAAAAAAGATGCTTGAAGAGATGCACAGATTCCAGGTGCTAACCCCGTCTCTATCTCCAAACACCTGCTCTGGAAGCAGGCATCCAAATTCTCTTCCATTTTTTTCACTTAATCCTCTTGGAACTGGATAAACCCGGGGCCTCCATCCTGAGCTACACCCCAAGTCCTTTTCTGTGGTATTTTGAGGCGTGTACCAAGTCAGTAAACTGCCCAGGCTGGGCTGAGCTTGTAGTGACCCTCCTGCCTCAGCCTCCCAGAGTGCTGGGATTACAGCGGACACCTCCAACCCAGCTCCTCCTCCATCCCTTTGGAAGCAGCCCTGGACTGGCCAGCAGGATCCTTGTCTCCAGTGACCTCCGTGTGGCCAAGGAGGCCACTGCGGCCTGGTGAGCCCCTGCCCCTTCCGGTTTCCTGAGCCTCGGCCTTGCACTTGGGAACTAATGTCACTCTAGCAGAGTCAGATAATTCACAGAACAAAGCCAGCGCTTCATTCTTTCATGCTCACAGCTTTACGCGGTCTTGTACACAGTCAGGGTTCCACCGTGGTGGGAATTAGTGTCCCTATTTTACAGCATAGGAACCTCAGTTCCCAAAGGGGACAGATCGCCCCCAAAGCCCGATCAAAAGGAACAACTCCCCCAGGTGTCTGCACCCACTTTTCCTAGTACGCAGTGAGCGCTTCGGCGAAGGCGAGGCGGAGAACTTAAACACCAATTTTCCGGGGCGGGGTTTATGCAAATAGACCGTGGGCGGGGCTGCGGATTGGCCGGCGCGGAAAGGGGCGGGGCGTGCGGAGGTTCCGGGGCCCGCAGGCAGGTGCGCTCGGGAGAGGCCGGGTGAGCGCACGGCTGCACCGCGCCGGTCGCTGCTGCTCCGCGATGCCTCCGCTCTGGGCGGTGCTGGCGCTCGGCTGCCTGCGGATCGGCTCGAGTGAGCGGGGATGCGGGCTGCAGGCGGCGCGGCCCCTGGGTGGGCAGCGGCCCTGAGACGTCCCTTACTCATTCCAGAGACTGGCACGGATTCCCAGCGCAGGGCTTTCGGATCGCAGCAGCAGCCAACACTAAGCGCTTCCGCCGCGCAAATCTAAGGGCTCGCGGGTGGCTTCTGCCCCGCTGTGAGGCCAAAATACAGGGGCTGCGGGCTGGCAAAGCAGGGCCGGACCAGACTCACGGGGACCCCTGGGCCGCGAGAGACGCAGGACGGTTCCCTCCCAGGGGCCACATGGGCCAGTTAGGAATGGGGAGCCCGTCACCCCACGGCCAGAGCTTGGCATGGAGAAGGGGGAAGGAGGGCGCCGAGGGGGCCACGGAAGGCGCTGGTGGGACACAAGGTCAGGTTAGCACGGCACAGAGGAGGAGGGTCTCTTTACTTGGGTCCAGGTGAAGAGGGAGGGGTGGGGGGTACACGGGAGCATGGGGCAGAGACGCCCTGAGGAGCGCGGCAGAGGGGCTCTCGGTGACTGGATATCTGCAGGGTGGTGATGCCTGTCATCCCAGCACTGCGGGAGGCTGAGGCAGGAGGATTGCAAATTCAAGCCCAGCCTAGACAATGTATGTAGCATCTTAGAATATATAACCAGAAGTACAGCTCAGTGTGGAGGCCCTGGGTTGGATCCCCAGTACTACCAAAGAAGGGAAAAAGAAAAGTTTGCAGGGGGAGAGGGTTTCTGGCAGGATGACCAGCAGGGTGGGCCAGGGCACGCCCTGCATCTGAGACAAGTTCAGGAGGTGGCCCATGGCAGAGTGACGCCCAGTGCCTGGCACACACCAGGGGTCAGCGCCCCTCCATGTTCCTCCTCCAGCTGTTGACCTCCAACCCCAGCTGGCCAGCATCGCCTTCGCCACCAACAACCCCACGCTCACCACGGTGGCCCTGGAAAAGCCCCTCTGCATGTTTGACAGCACGGTGCCACTCATGGGTAGCTACAAGGTTCTCCTCTACGTCATGGCAGACTTGGGTAAGCACCCAGCTTCCCTCCCGCTGCTCTAGGGATGTCCACCCTGTCCCTGGAGGAGGAAACAGGCATGAGGAGAGGTGCTCTGGCCCCAGAGTCCCGTCACTCATCTGGCCCAAGCTCTTCTCCAATGAGCACATTTATCCACCATGGCCAGCCCAGGACAGCTACAGGCACAGAGCTGTGTCCAGCGCCCGGCTCCAGCTACTGAGTACCTGTCTGGCCCAGGGCCTCCCTGCGGCGCCCCAGGCAGCCAGGCTTGGGAGGTGGGAGCAAGCACTGGGATCCGCGGGACCTGCCTGACCCTCAGCCCTTCGTGGGCAGGAGCCCTGGCCTTTCCAGGGAAGGGGCCCAGGGACTCTCATCTGCGGAAGGTGGTCATTTACAACAGCTCACTGGGATGATCATTTGATTCTCTCCAAATATTTGCTGACCACTGACCGCCCGGTCGGTGGGCACTGTGCTGTAATCTGGGGCCATTTCACTGAAGACAGGCTGGGGTCCAGAGAGGTAGAGCAAGCCATCCAGCTCACTCAGCTGGTGAGGAAGGCACACAGCGGAGGTCACCTGCCCCTGTCGAGTACCCCTACCACAAGGACCCATTTCCTGTATCATAGAAGACAGAGTTCAAGGCTGCAGGACAGGTGTGCAGGTCTGCAGGGGTGGGGAGGCAGGAGCCTTATGAGATGAGGAAACCAGGGGTGGTGGAGTATGCCTGTGACCCCAGTACTCAGGAGGCTGAGGCAGGAGGGTCACCGCAAATTCAAGGCCAGCTCAGAGTACATAGAGAGACCCTGCCCAATAAAACAAAGCAAAATAAAAAACAAAAACTAGAATAAGGTGAGAGAACAGGACCCAGCACCCTCGGCTGAGGGGTGCACCTTGTCTGTCTCTCCCATTGCAATGGGTGGGTCCTGCACAGGGTGAGGCAGATCAGAGTCTGGGAGCGTTTGATGAATGACTGAATGGGCTCAGGTAGCAAGGCCCGGATCCTCACTGCCCGATCTGCCTTGCAGCTGGCTCCAGGAACACTTCCATACAGGACAGCAACAAGACCCCTCTGAGAGCCACATTCCAGCAGACCATGGGCGGGAGGACAGGTCCCTACCAGGCTGCCGCCTTTGACCTGACTCCTTGCAGTGACCTGCCCAGCCTGGACGCCGTCGGGGATGTGAGCCAGGCCTTGGCGATCCTGGACGCCTACCTGATCAGGGTGGGGGACAACAGGACCTGCCTGTGGGACCCCAACTTCCGGGGCCTGTGCAACCCCCCTCTGGCCGCAGCCACAGCCTACAGGTGGGTTCCAGGAGCCCAGGAGGAGAGCGGGGTGCGGGCTGAACGGGAGAGGCCATCTTTGCCCAGAGTTTGGGTGTGGGGACCTCCTGATCTCAGGGTGTCTGGGTTCTCGGGCTCTCACAGTGCAGAGCTGGGGGCTCAGGAGACCCCGTTGTGCTTACCACTCTGGGGTCCCGGCCCGGAAATGCTTAACTTTGGAACAAGGGGCCTTGGGTTCACTGTGCGCTCCACCAACTACCGACCGTCACAGCCAAGAGCAGAAGGCAGGGAACTGTGGTCCGGTGTAAGCTTGAACCCCAGTCTCCACCCCAGAGGCGGGGTCCTGGCCTGTGCAGATCTTGGGCTACACCCACATCAGTTGCTATGGAGACACCTAGGTTGGGGTCTCCAGGGCTTCAGGGCTTGTTTGGGAGCCACAGTGTCATCTACCTGTGGCCCTCACCCCCGCTACTGCCTCAGGCCCTGGGGGACGAGGGTCCTCTGTCCTCTGCCCCAGCCCAGGACCTCTGAGGGTTTCCTGTGGGAATACCTCTCCCTCCTCCATGACCTCCATGACCCCTCTGGCTCCGCCTCTGGCTTCCTATGCCTGAGAGGTAAGGGGTGGACACACAGCCCCACCCACACCTCAAGACAGGGTCATGGGGTTCACCAGAACTCGAGGGGGGGGCAGATTTTGGTTTGGCTTTTTAGACTCACTCTGTGGCCCAGGCTTAAAAGGCCCAGGTTAAAAACCACAGGCTTTAGACACCACAGTCCACAAGCCATCCGTCACTTTTGACTGACTATATGTGATTCCTGAAGTAGGCTGTGGCTATTTATACCCGTAAAACATCTGTTGGGCATCCCTGTGCTGGACATGTAGCTCCGACCCGAGGGTGATTGGTACCACCCCAGTGTGTTTTGCAGTTCCCTTTGTGATCCCAAGAAGCAGAGGGCACAGTTGCCCCCAGAGGTGTGGGCTGTGCCCAGCATGTGCAGCCCATGAGCAACACGGAGTAAGCACCTGTCCTGCAGAGGGGCCACCGCAGGAGGACGCTCGGGAGAGGTCTTAGTAACTCCCTCGTTGCTGAGACAAAATACTGGCATTAAAGGAGAGGTTTACTTGGGTTCACTCTTTGCAGAGGTTTCAGGCCATAGTTGGCTGCTCCCAGCTGCACCCCTGGGCAGGGCAGGCAGGAAGCATCGAGCAGTGGCCGGCCTTTTCCTGTCCTGTAAGCTCCACCCAGGATAAAAGCCTATGATCAGTGCCACAGGACCTCAGGGTGGCACTCCTCTAGCCACACTCAGGACTGTGCCAGTTCCAATCAGTGGCTAATCCCAGTATCACACAGGAGATGCAGCCAGCTTTGAAACACCCCACCCAAGAGCAAATGAGGCTTGGGGGGGACATCCAGATACAGGCCATGACAGGAGGGCGCGGGGTGACAGATGGCTGAGTCCCACCCCTGCCCGTCACCCGGTGTCTGCCCAGGCCATTCCCTGGGAGTCTTCTCTGGCTTCCTGCAGCTGGGACACACAGGATGCTGGAAGTCACCCTGGCTCTGTGTCCGTCCAGGTTCAAGTATGCCCTGGTGAACGTGTCCACAGGCCTGGTGCAGGACGAGAGCCTGTGGTCAGACCCCATCCGCACCAACCAGCGTAAGTAGGGATGGCCAGGGGTGGTGCCCCAGGGCCCAGAAGCCAAGGCCGGGACTGGGTGTCTCCCCAGTGTACCAGCTGGCCAGCGGGTGGAGGGGGAACAGCCTCTTAAACTTCCACCTGAAGCCAGGCATGGCGGTGTACATCTTTAATCTGAGCACTCAGGAGGCCGAGGCAGGAAAATAGCCAGAAATTGAAGGTCAGCCTGAAATTCATAGCCAGCCCCTGCCTCAAAAAACAAAAAAGAAAACCCAGGTTAATCTGCAATGTCCTCCCCCTGCCTCTGCCCTCCAAGGCCAAGACAAGCTGGAGGGCTCGCTGGGGCTGGCCCAGCCCTCAGGACAGCCAAGGTCAAGGTCAGGAACTTTCTGCAAGGTCACTGTCCCTGCACCCCATGAGAACATCACTGCAGCGAGATGGGAGTCCAGAGTTCACCTGGGGATCAGGACAGAACCCAGGCTGCAGGGACAGCCTGCACCTGGGGCCATCACTGAGGACTCTGTCTCCCCATGCCTGGTCCCCAAAGGGTGACTGCACCCAGGGGAGGGCAGGAGCCTCTGCCTGCCCGGGGCTTGCCAGACCAGCACCCCTGCCAGGCTGTGATTATCACATCTGGACCCCATGTGCCCACCGGAAGACCAGCCAGTTTATAATTGAAAGTCAACAGGAAGAAGAGGCCAGGAAGTCGGGAAGTGGGAGGAGACCAGCGCTGACCTGGGCCCTCTCCCCGCCCCCGGTCCCCCTGGGTCCTGGGCACCCAGGCAGGAGGACCCCCACGGTCGCCCGGGGGGTAACCCAGCCGTCATCCGCAGCCACCCCCTTCGCGGCCATCGACACGTGGCCCGGCAGGCGCAGCGGCGGCATGATCGTGATCACCTCCATCCTGGGCTCCCTGCCCTTCTTCCTGCTCGTGGGCTTCGCCGGCGCCATCGCCCTCAGTTTCGTGTGAGTGCCCGGGACACCCCCATGTGGTCCGTGCAGGCGAGGACTAGAGGTCACCTCTGCTGGAGAGTGTCCGGAGCAGCCAGGCTGCGATGCGCGCACGCCACCGGCAGAGGGCGCCCCACGCTGCTCTTGGGTTAACTTAACCCCCAACACCCCCCCTCCCCCCCAACCCTCCTGACTCAGCCACAGGGAGCCGCCTCCGCCTGATTCAGCTTCTCAGACATCTTGGTGCCTGGGTACATAGGGATAGTGGCCTCTAACTGTGCAGCCCATGGTGAGCCCGGAAACGTGGTTCACGTGGTTCCCAGCGGGGGGCACTGAACTTATTCCCGGGTCCAGCATGAGGCGAGCCCTTGGCTAGGAACGAAGGTCCGAGGCCCCTCCTGTGAACAGAGTGCCTAAGTGTTAGGGCCCTGGGCACCGAGCTGGGGTTCGCCCTGCTCCCCTGACCCCGGCTCTCGCCATCCCCTCCCCAGGGACGTGGGCAGCTCGGATGGGGAGACCACAACCACACATAACGCCCAGATCACGCAGGAAGCTGTCCCCAAGCCCCTGGGGGCCTCAGAGCCGGCCTACGCATCTGTGAACCTCGCGCCGCCCCTGGACAGGGCCGAAGTGTTCTCCAGCAGGCTGCAGGACTGAGCTGGGCTCCTCCCTGGGGCGGGCAGACGGGCGGGCGCGCTGGTCCAGCCGCGGGAAACTTGACCGGCCCAGATGTGGAGTCCAGAAACGTGAAGGGAATAAATGGGTCAGTGAAGGGCTGGGTGAGTTGTGTCCTCCTGAGTGCTTGGCCTGCGTCCCTCCCTGTCAAAACTACCACAGCGAAGGTAAGTCAGAATGTGCTCAGTGGCGAAGGCCTGTAATCCTAGCACTCAGGAGGCTGAGGCAGGAGGATCACAAATCCAAACCTCTCCTGGGCAATTTAGTGACCTAAGTGAGGCTCTGGCTCATAAAACAATAAATGGCTGGAAATAAATCCAGGGTGAAGGCCCGGGGTTCAATCCCCAGTACCACAATTTTAAGAAAGGGGAAAAAAAAAAAAAAAGAAAACCTGCCGCTGAGGCTCACCAGGAGTTTGAGGCTAGCGGGGGCCACACAGCAAGACCTTGTCTCAAAAACCAAAACTAAAACCAACGACAAACAAAAAGGACCTAGAAGTTCCTCGACCCCAGCCTCTGAGCCTCTGTCTCTCAATCTGTAAAATGGGCGAGAGTGACTGGAGCCGTCCTCCAGGGGTGCCAGGTGCACCGACTCCCTGCAGCATCCCGAGTTGAGGTGAAACCTTAACTGCAGGCGGCATTGCATGGGCTGTCAGCGGAATCTCGGGACTGAGGCCCAGCTCCCCCAGTTGGCACCCTCACCCCAGACCTGCAGGCTGCAGGGCCTGACAAACGAGGGCTGCTGACCACACAGCGCCCACATGGATGGTCCCAGGTGCAGAGCCTGCATCCGAAGCCTTAGAGGATGCGGGAGAGCAACAGAGCTCGGGCAGGGCTGGCGGGCACCCATGGCTGGATAGAGGTGGGGGCGTGAAGGCAAGAAGGCCCCGTCCCTCACCCCGTCTTCTGTCCCCTAGGCTGGAATCCCCACTTCCTGGGACCCTGGGGTCCCCCAGAAGCCCCAGCTGCGCCCCTGCAGGACTGCACTGAACCTAGGCCGCTTTCAGCTTACTTTATGTTTGAGGTGAAGTCCACACGATGTGAAGCTAACCTTTCTGCCAGGCCTGGTGCCTCAGGCCTGTAATACCAGCACTGGGGAGGCTGAGGCAGGAGGATCGCTGCAGGTGTGAGGCCAGCCTGGGCTACACAGTGAGACCCTGTCTTAACATGAAAGAGCCGTCCACTCCCCGGGTCCCCTTCAGGGCTGACCCACCCATCCCCGGTGCTCACAGATCTGGGCTTCATTCCTATAAGTGTGTTACTGTAAAGCCGTGCTGTTTGCCCGGCAAGAGCAAGGTCGTGAGTTCGATTCCCAGCACCAAAAAACCAAAAACAAACAAAAATAAAATAAAACCGTGCTAAGGATGCAGTCCTGAAGCACGTCCCGGACACCCTGCCGTCCCCACTGGTGCGCACGGCTGCTCCTTTTCACCGTGAGCCAGTCCCCTCTGCCAGATGCGTCCCTGCCTGTGGAGGGCTCTGTGGTTCCAGCTCGTGCCGCTCCTGATCCAGCAGCCGGAGCTTCGCGGCAGGTCTTTCTGTGAAGACAGCTTTCATTTCCCCAGGACAAGAAGGACCCAAGCGTGGCCTGGCCCCGCTACTGGGTGAGCAGGTGTTTGAGAAGAAAATGCCACAGTTTTTCCCGAGCGGCTGCTCCCCGGTTCATGGTCTCAGGGACAAAGTCTGGGAGCTGCGGCTTGCATCTGGCGTCTCCCAAAGGCCCCTGGCTCAGCCCCCAGCTGGGGGTTCTTGTTTTTGGTTTTTTGAGAGAGGACCTCACTGTGTAGTTCAGGCTGACCTCAAACTCCTGAAATCCTCCTGCCTCAGCCTCCCAGGTGCTGTGATTACAGGTGTGCATCACCATGCTCACCTGCTCACTGTGACAGGGACCAGGGCAGGACGCTGCGCTTAGGAGAGGGAAGAGAGCCGCAGCGTGCGCTGCCTCAGAAAGGCTCGCGGGGTGCCCTCTCTTCCCCTTCCCCGTTTCACTTCCTCTCCCCAGGCCGATGGGTTCCAGTCCATCACACGCTCCCCATGACCTGCTGTGTCCTCTCCCAGTGTCAGCGGGGGCCTGGGCCACCTCAGGAACAGCAGGTGGCAGAGCTGCCCAAGACGAGCCCTGCCCTGAAGACAGGGTGGCCCTGTCCTGATGTCCACAGAACCAGCGGCATCTCCTGCGCCACTTGGCCTCCAGCCTCTGCTGAGAAGCTCCCAGTTTGGGGTCACCAGAGTCCTGTGGAACCCTAAGTCAGCCCTTCCAAGGTAGCCCTTGGGCTGTCATCTTCCGGGGACCCCGAGTGGCCCACTAAAAAACCCTTTACCACTGCCAGGCCGCTTTGCTGATCGGCTCTGGTCACAGGCGAGCTGTGCACAAGAACAGAATCCTTGAAACTCTTGAGCCCCATGGCGTGGTGGCCACGGCTGTCATCCCGAGGCTCAGGAGGCTGAGGCAAGCGGCTTGCCATGAGTTCCAGGCCAGGCTGAACAGCATGGTCAGTCCCTGTCTCTAAAACACAAAAGAGGAAAAACAAAACACAACAGAAACAACAGCTGAGCCACAGTAAACGTCTGGAGGAGTTGATTATCTCAGGTGTTTATTACAGTGAAGAAACCATGACCAAAACACGGAGCAATCTGCTTTCCCTGAGTCCTCCCCTGCCCTTGGTGTTTTTATTTCAGCCGTTCTGATGGTTTGTATCACTGCATTCCTACCGATTGCTCCACTTCCTCGCCAGCACTGGGTGTGGTTAGCCTTTTGAATTTTGTCCTTCCTGGTGGTGTGTAGTGGGCTTGGTTTGCATCTCACGCGCTCCTTCACCATTCTTATGCCGTTTTTGGAAGAGCACTGCTCAGATCTTCTGCTTAATTTTAAAGTTATTTTTTTCCTTTTTCTGGAAAGTTTTTAGTTCTTTGGGCATTTTGTTCATTTTTGTTTTTTTGGCGCTGGGGATAGAACCCAGGGCTTATGCACAGACCAGGCATGCACCTAACCTTTGAGCTGCATCCCCTCCTCCATTCTTTTAAGTTTCTTTCATGGATATATTTTCATGAATTATTTATTGGTTTTGTTTTTTGCTTGGTACAGGGGATCGAACTCAGGACCTAGCATTTACCGGGCAGGCACTTATGCCTATGAGCTAAATCCTGGCCCTTTATTGGTGTTTTTGAAACAGGGTTTTGCTGTGTTCAGGCTAGCCCAGGCTGGCCTGAAAGTTGAAGTGACCCTCCTGCCTCAGCCTCCTGAGTGCTGGGATCACAGATGGGTGCACCGTTATGCCCGGCTTTGTGCAGCTTTGTAAACTGGGTTATCTTTATCACTGGACTCGAGAATGCCTGCGTAGTCCAGTGCAGACGCTTCCTCTCAGGCATCTTTTGCAAGCCCCTCCCCTGCTTGTGTCTTAACCTGCCCCCCACCCCCACCCCGCACTAATTTTTTCTGTAGCCTTGTCAGCCCTAACACCTGGGGTTTCATCCGCCACACCGTGACCTGCTGTGTCCTCAGCACCCTGCACAGTGGCTGCGCCACATATTTGTTTAGTGACTCTCTTGTCCCCACTGCGAGGGGTGGGGGACGAAACATAGGTGAGGGGACCTCAGCAGACCTGAGCAGGGCACAAGGGGGTTCTGGGTGAGGTGGGCGGAGCTTAGAGCGAGGGCCAGGGGCTTTTCCAGGTGCCAGGCGCCCTCCTCACAGCGGCAGAGCCACGCCCACCTGGGCGGGTGCTGGGCGGGGTCCTTCCTGCTTGCATAGCGGCGGGGACTTCCGCAGGGTGCGCGGGGCGGGGCGTCTCCAAGCGCTCAGCTCGCTCCTTTGCAGCCCTGCACAGCGCGTCTGTGACACGCGCGGCTGAGGCTCTGCGTGCCGGCTGTGCGTTGCCGGCGCAGCGTCTGGTCCAAGGGCGCAGGATCCATGTGCCTCCGCCCGTGTGCGGTGCGGTGCAGAGCATCCCCGCGCAGCGACACGAGTCTTCGCGTGCGACTCAGCCAAAGCTTTGGCTCCGCGGGGGAAGAACCCGCACGCGGTCCTCTCTGTCTCTGTGTGGCCAGAGAGACCCAGGCAGCATTTCCCAGCAGGTCCCCCTTCCGGCGCGGACCAGCGTTACCGCTCGTCCCATGTCTGCCTTCCAGTCTGCACTCGGTGGCGTGAGGGTGGAGGAGGCTGTGCTGAGGGACAGTTTAGCAGGACCCGGCAGAGCAGGACAGCGATACGTGCGCGCACACACATGCACACGCACGCATGCGCGCGCACACATTTCAAATGCACGTGCGTCTTCCCCAGCATCCCTGCTGCGGCGCAGGGCACCATCTTGTACAGAAGTGAATCGGATCTGCTCTGCAGAATTCAGGGCGAGACTTGTTCATGCACACGCACACGCACACACGTGTGTTCACTCATTTGTTCCACGCAACTGACTGAGACCTGCTCCTGACATACACAGACACCTGCAGGGCTGGTGGGGTCACTCGGAGGCACCACGCTGGGCCTGGCCGTGTTCCCTCCCCCTTGCCTACTGGGACCAGGGGCCAGTGGGCAGCGCCCCTCCGCAATGGGATATGGGGAGGTATTCCTAAGACACCCCTCTGCCACCAGGCCCTTCACTGGACGTCCAGTTTCAGTGTGATGCACTTCCGGGGCTGACCTGGTCCTTGTGGAAGCCCGATCAGCTGCGGTTATGGGTACAGGGCTGGGACTTCTGCTCCATCCTCTGCCACCAGGCTGAGCTGCGCTGGCAGCACAGGATTCCCTGGACCCCTACCTTCGACCGGGCACGCTCACTCAGCCCAGGGCGTCACAGCCACAGGGCAGCTCCGGCGGGGTCAAAGGCTGTGCTTCGTTGCTTTTGCTGAGCATTGAACCAAAGGCCTAGTCTACGGCGGGGAAGCTCTCTATGAAACTACCTGGGAGCCCCCAAATCGCATCACCATGGAAACTGTACATCTACATCCCCTGGCTGGGGAACCTGGCGAGGAGGTGGGTAAATGAGGCACTGGGATGGGCGGGGCACCTCAGGGGCCTCAGTTTCCCCTTCCGTTAAACTGGAAACTTCCTTGTAGAGCTATTGTGAGGACAGCCCGAGGACTCAGCCAGGGATCCTGCCCCGAGTCCTG